ATTTCAGAAACTCAATGCAGGAGATGGTCGAAGCGAGAGATCGGCCGGTGACCGTCCGGCGAGACTGGCGATATTTGCAGGACCTCCTCCTCTGTTATCTCCAAATCAACCCCATTCATACCCACAAGTTTATTTTGAGTGCTTTCTCCGACCTCGTCGTCTATTTGCTCGAAAAGTCGCCGGATTCTCCCTCCGACCACCGCCTGCAGCGGAGCAATTTCGGCTCACATGATTGGTACAACAATAATACCTGCCAACACATTAATTATAGTGACTTCTTATCCAATATATTTTTACGAACAACATTTAAGYATTGACCGGTAGTATTTATCTCTATACTTGCCACTATTATTTTTTATTAAACAGAGTGAGAKGTTCGAATTCATACCTAACTTCTTCGTATGGATTAGAGAMATATAGAGACATATGTGCTAGTTAYTACTAAATTTACRTGGGCTCTATATGGTTTATTTCTTTTTTTAAATATCAATTTTATTATATTTTTTTTTTGTTAAAAATAACATAACTCAGTATAATTGACATATATCTTTAATCAAGATAAATTTGATTGGTACCTCAATTATTTTTTTATCGTAAAAAATTTTACAATAGCGAGCATCTAAATATTTACCCATTTCTATATTCATCCTACTAAAATTTCTAACCATTCAAAATATACCACATTGGAAAGTTACACAGTATTCATTGGGAATAATATTTTTGCATCAGTTTTTTCTTCTTGTTTTATACACAAACTTACACCATTTTGGTTCAAAAAGGCAAGATGAGGAAGAAAGGAACAAATAGTGAAAGAAAAATATCCTTTCATAATCAATTTTTATGATCTTTTTGAAAAGTTGATGAGATTTTGTGGATTGTTTTGCAGGGGCAAAGCTTAGTAGTTGGTTAAAGTTTGGAATGTTTGTTCTAAGAAAGACAAAGAAAATGTGGGTTTCGATGATCATCACACAACACACAGAATCAAGGAAAGCGTGGGATTGCATAAAGCATCCCACATCACCAATCTCATAAAAAAGAGAGAATATTGTGTTTGGTTGGTGGAACAGAAAATGAAAGAAAATTAAGCAAAAAAAAAAAGAGTTTTTTTTTAGTTGTTTTTTTTTTCTCTTTCTTCTTGGTACATACTTGCTGACAAGAGGGGCAGAAGGGTTGGTTTATTGTCCTTTAGAGAGAGAGAAGAGAGTGGGGGTTAGGGTTGGGGTTGGGGTTGGGGAGTGGTCCTATTGGGTTGTGTTTGTGTTGGGTGATGACATAAATGCTTGTAATTTAATGGTGTTTGCAGCAGTGGGGATCAACCAGCTGAAGCTGAAAGGGGGTGGGGTGGAGAGAAATTATTGGAGATCGAGACGATCCGGTCCGTAGTTTTACACCGTTGGATATACGAGGAAGAAATTATTAAGTTGTGCTTTCAACGACCAAATATTATTTGAAGAGATGTTCAAATYATAGGACTTACACATACATRYATCTAATGGTTATTAGACGACAGCCACATTTGACGAGAGCGAGAGCCATCCACTGAGTGCAGTTTTTTTTTAAACTAAAGAAGGTGGTGGGGTATGCAAAGTTCTTATGCAAACGCCATTTGTTTGTTTATTTTTGTTTTTGTTTATGGAGAGGTAGATGGAAGTTTTGTGTAAGCAAATGAATAATTGTTTAACGTTACATGGCTATGTATAGTATATTTTGTTCRTTGCTCTACCATTTAATTTGTTCTTTCTTTTTCTCTGTCAAATTAAAGGCAATACGGATGGATGATTCAAATTCAAGAACGGGTACAATTAAATTTGTTTTATGATGTCTCTCAGCYGTCGAAAAGTTGTTCTTATGACCCGACTTGTTTGGTTCTTAAAGTTCGATCAAATAGTTTTTGAATTGTGTGAAGGTTGGTTTATTTAATGAAAATCGGTCTGTAGGTTGTGTTTTTTCTCTTTTTGGAATATGTGGGATAGAAGGATTTAAATTCAAAATTAGTAAGTACTTTATAGGAATTTATACATATATTGCTTAGTTTGAATAGATATATACCAAAAATCAAATTTGAAAATATCAATGATTACTAAACTACCCTTCATCTACCATCTGATGCTCCTATTTTAAAGAATTTTACACCTTTTTGTTCTTGTATATTAAGTCATGATAAAACAAAAACAAAAACAAAATYCTATTTGGGAAAGAAATCATGTTAAATTCAATACCAAAAAAGAAGGAAAAAAACTCAACTCAATAAATATTTTGTAAATAAGTTATAGGAAATTGTATTTTAAGTCAACCGATGTTTGTTAGTTAACCTATATTCTTAAAGAAAAAAATCAATATACAATAACGAAATTGACTAATTAGATGAACTACGTGTTATTTTGAGATTATAATTTAGGATGAAAATTTTTCTATTCATATAAAATATTTATTAGTGCCAAAAATTGAAATTTAAGAGTTTGTTGGGTAATGTTCATGTTTCTTTTTGTTTTTCATGTCTGATTTTTCATATATTCTTTTTTAATAAAGAAAAACAAAATTAATTTCCCCTTTTATTAAAAAAGAATAGCAATAACATATTTGGTAACAGTTTCTTGCTTCTTGAAAAACTTGATTTTGTTATTTTTAAAATTTCTACTCAATTTTAAAAACATTTCTTAAAAATGAAAAATGGGAAACTTAAACAATTACAACAAATTTAAAACGAAAAACGTAAAAAAAAAAAATACCAAATAATTTCTAAAAAAAGTTAAAAACAAAAAATAATGGGGCATTTGAACCTTATCTAAGAAAACCAATGCAACATTTCTTTATCTAAATCTTTTTGCCCAACAAATATAGTTAAAAAAAAACATGGATTACTATTTTGATTTTAGTTTTAGAATAAAATATTGATAATAAAAAGGCAAATAAGTAGAGGCAAATATTCTAAAGAAAATGAGATTTTATTTTTGACACCATCTTTAGACAGAAGATTTATTGCATCTCAATTTGGGCAACTAAGAGTTGAAAAAGAAAGAGGATTTGTCACCATTGCCTTTATTATTTCTATACTTTCCAAAGCAGATTCTCTCTCCTTTTTAGTATACCAAAGTTCACTTTAACACTTTTGATTCATAAAGTTCACAAAAGTACAAATCATTTTCTAATTAACAAAAAAAAAATCTATAGCTATACATTTTGATAAGTAGAAGTTAGAAAGTATTTAATTAGCTCTAATTTTTTCTTAATTATGTTTCATTTAGAATTCGCCTGCGAATTCTCATTCTATACAATTTTGAGCTCTTACGATTTTTGTTATCCATTTTTCTTTCTGAGCCTTACCCTTTTGCACATTTCTTGAATATTGAAAAGGGTCATCAAATTGAGGCAAACCCATCCACAAATTATGTAACACTAGCATGGTATAGGCTTGATAAACCCAAGATCATGAGAGAGAGATTTGAAAGGAGTTTTGTTTGATATGGAGTAAAGGGAGACAGGGGAAAGCAGATCCAAAGGGAGATTCCAAGAGGCATCTAAAAAGAAAGACATTCTTTTAGTATTTTTATGAATATATTTGTATTAAGTATGATCCCCAAGATACTTGGTCTTGTTTTGGGTATACCATTTTTGGTTCTCTCAAATCTTTAGGCTTAGGCTTGGATTTGGAGTAAGTGATGGAATTTTTTGATGCAATTACCATATTTTACTCCATGTTGGAAGTAGAGTAAAATATGCATATCTCACCATCACTGCCAATTTTGGTGGCTCAATACTTCACTATCAACTTCATTCATCAATTTGCCAGTGGTGAGATGGAGATGCAGTCAGGGCATATTTGAGGATAATATAGTTAATTATTAAATATTTAATAACCATAAGTACTAACTAATCAACTAATTAGTCAATAATTGAACAAATTTTGCATCAGGTAAATCACCAATGCCTTTTATATAGTTCACTTCTCTCTGCAAATAGAAAATTTATTTGGGAATTTTTAATTCTTTTTTGCCCTTTCCTAATATCTTTCTCAAGTTACTTCTGAGAATTTTATACTTTTTTCAGCACGGTATGACAAAAAAATAAGCAATAGTGGGACAATTTCACTGTGTAAATT